CCACCTCCCCTGGCTTGATCCTATCTGAGGCAAACACTGTACCGTTTCATCAAGATAGATCTAATGCCTGTACAGTCGTACCTGTGTAAGTCGGCCACCCATTGTCATGGAGAAAAGTGGCTGTATGAGACAGGTGGCCGTCTTAGGCAGGGGCTGATCAAAATGAAGAAAACAAACCATTCCTTTCTGAGGTCCCAACCGAAAGAAGCCGCATTGTTGTAGTTGTTGTTGTTGTTGTTGTTGTTGTTGTTGTTATTGTTGTTGTTGTGGTTGTAGTTGTTATTGTTGCTGTTATCGTTGTTGTTTCTACTGGATTTCTTTTTTCTTTTTTTTTTCTTTTGTTGCTGCTTTTGTGCAAGGGTGACAATAAAACGAAATGTGTCAGACAAGGAGGACCGAGTGCTATGGTAAAACGAACACATGGGTCGCCAACACTCTGAGAACGAGCGACGCTTCTGACACAAGTTCATGTTGACGTCCTTTGTTACTTTGTTACAGACTGGGTAAACAGTGACCACTCATCTCACTTACGATTTGCGTATGAGTTCATGGCGGGGTTTATTATGGTTATGATGAGGGATGACACGCTTACCTCACTAGGAGCTGAAAATGTGTTACCTATTGGTCAACAGTGGGAGGGGCCAACGCAACATGATCGGTTGGAGGGACTACCTAACAACAACGACAGGTGATTGGATTATGACGGCTCTCCCACAACGCCAGGGGCCATTGCACAATTTGTGACAAAACGTAATGGAGTCACTAAGGTGGCTGAGACAGGTGTTATTGTTTAGTGTGATCAGTGATAGGGGTTGTGTGTTAAAATATGGTGGTCGCGGCCGCGTTGGACAGGTGCCCGATTTACACAGTTAAATTGTTGTATCGAAAAAACGCAAGGGAGGAATGGAAAGTGGCCGTTTGTACAGGTGGCCGTCTTATACTACGTATAGAGGTGGCCGTCTGGGCAGGTTCGATTGTATTATGTACAACAGTGACGTGATCACATTTCATTTACGAGGGTAGCTGATTTACACTCTTTGTTGATTTGATCTTCTCTGCCTGTCCTGGTTTTTGTTCAATAAATTAATTATGATCTAAAATGCGGGATCTTTAGCCGAATGTAGATCTAGACCCTCAGAGCAAGTTGGTGTAGTGATTTTTTTCTCTTTAAACCAGCAGCGGTGGGATCTTAAATTAGGCGCACTACTGTATTATTAATTGATGGTATTTTCATCTTAGATCTATTATCCTATCATGCTTATTCAGTTGCTCATTAACTCTATCTTCACCCTCACCTTGGCCTATCCTATCAGTGCCAGACATGGACCCTGACCAAAAGTCTGTAACGTAAGATAACTACCTCATGCGAGATCTGTATGAGATGTCAAAGGAGAGCCGTCAACAAAACCAGACAGGGCATGGTCAGAAACAACAAGATCAGAGAAATGGTGGGAACAACACCTGTCCCCCACTACATCCGAAGGTAAACAATCAGGCAGTTTGGACAATCTCACACGTATGGCATGGCACCTGTATTGCCAGTAAAGCCCACTACAGGAAAGTATCAGCGTAAAAAGCAAGAGGAAGACCAAGAAAAAAGACCTGGACCCAGGGTGTGAAGGATACCCAGTGGGTGGTTGGCGGGTGCTCTGGTGTGGTTGCTTCTTCTTTCCTATCAAACATCTATCGTCCTTATCTCCCCTTCTTCTTTTTTTATGTCTGTTACTCTCTTGTAACTCATCTAATCGTCTGGCGCTCATCATATGACCTTATGCAGTTGCGAGCGCCGTAAAACAATTACTAGACGGATACCCTGAGAACATTCAATATCCCACCCAGCCAGGCCATCAAACTTGCTAGAGACAGGAAGCTCTTTCTCCCCTCGACGTCCTAGAGGTACAAATAATAATAGAGATAGCATTTGTATAGCGCAAATCCCCGTTCAACAGCAAGCTCTATGCGCTTCACAATCTATACTATTACCCCATTAGACCTGAGAGCATTCAGAAACAAACTATTGTACTCAACTTTCTGGGAAGCATACAAGTGCAAGAAGCCATAGGCGCTAAAATACTAACATACGAAAAGATCTTTCGCTGTCTATGTCCGGGTACACATTTCCACCTGGGTGAAGTGAGGAAATTCGTGTAAAATGCCTTTCTAAAGGACGCAACGTCGGGCCCGCGGCTCAAACCCCCGACAAGAGGACAGATACAGTAAGTAAGTAGAGGTATTTTTCATTCTCATAGATTTTCACTCTGACCCCCCCCCCCCAACCCCCCCACACACACACACACTTACTTCCCCAACCCCTTTCCTACATGTGCATATTTTAGCCTAGATGGTCGGTCATTCATATTATTATTTAGGCCCGTATTATTTATTGATAGCCTTTTCTGTATAATTCTTCACTTAGGCAAGCCAAGATAATAATGATATTATGAAGTGAGCGAAAAAAAAGCGAAATGTTACTTTAACAATTGTGATGAAATACATGTATTGCGAAATATTAGACGTCCGTGTTGACAAAATATTATTATTATTCCAGTCGCCAGTCGCCAGTCAATCTCCAGTTTGCTTGCCATTGTTTTCAAGATGGCGATAACGTCGCTCAGGAAAACGGTTCTGTTATGTTTGCTATTGCTGCTTCTCATTGGTAGGTCTTAGCTGTTTTATTTTCACTCTAGTCTAGATTCAAGTATTTTAGTCGCGATGAATGGTCACTGTAGCTCCATGAACATGGAGCTCTTTGGAAATTGCCTTCCCGTTTGTTTACAAAAGAAACAGTCTACGTGATTGTGATTGCTAAGGCTAAGTAAAAAATGTGGACAATAGATTAGATAAAGATCATAAGATAGCAATGCCAATGAAAATTTAAATTTTCACTTTAGCCCTTTTTTATTTGGCCGGCACTATTTCTCCGAACGTTCGGGAAAATAAAGCTGGGCACTATTTCTCCGAACGTTCGGGAAAATAAAGCTGGGCACTACTATTTCTCCGAACACTCTGAAATATCATCCTTTCCCCCAAATTTCGGATATTATATAGAGATCTATAATTATAGTATAGGCCTACCAAAGATTGTTCGTATACAATATGGTTCAATCGGTCCAAAAAATGTCCGCCGTAAATATTTATATAAAGAAATGCTACAATTCCAAACAGTTTTTCGCTATAGATTTGACGTGTTGCCTATGAAGGGTACTGCTTTTAAACGTAATGTGTTGTGTTCACTCGTGTGCTGTCTAGATCTAGATCTACGGAGGGTTATTGATAACGACACATAGAACTGGCATCTGCGTTTGTCACTGCTGCGACCAATGTACTGACACTGGCAAGCCCCTTAATGTGTGTGATTCCATAATTTACATGTAATATCCTGTACTTTTTTAAAAATTACGCACATTTAGGGTTAAAACTGCCAATCTTCTTCGGATAGGTGGACACACGCCCTTATTTGGTAATGTTTGTTGTTGTTTATGGGCTGTTCTAATTTTGATTTCTTTCTGTTGTGAAACCTTTCTTTTTCACGTTTTTACACTCATCTAAAAATCTCATCTAGACTAGCTGTTGAAAATTGAAATAGATATATAGACCCAAAAATTTGCTCCTGTGTGTGTGTGTGTGTGTGTGTGTATGTATGTGTGAGTGTGTCTGTGTGTCTGTGTGTGGTAGTAAGTGGAGAGTGAGGTGTGTGTGTGTGTGTTTGTTTGTTTTTCGGGCTTTATTTCAGCCTTTATTCAGTAACAGTTCAAAGTATACAAAAATAGAAACACAGGATCCATTCACTCCAGGACTCATGAGTCATTCGTCTCTTTCAGTTTCACTCTTTCATTCAATTCCCGTGTTCTCTCCCGCGGCTCATCCCCGTCCGCATGACTTTCATACCCCACCCCATCCCTCCAGGCACACACAAAGAAAATCTCACTTGTTCCCTGCGAACCATGGACAATAATATAGGCAAAACACCGCCTGAGCTACATTCCTTTTGTTCGTGAGCTGTGGACCAGGCCAGGGGTGGTCAGTGTCGTCGTCTTGTAGTTGCTGTCGCCTGTGGATACACTCGCACATTCTTCCTTTCACCCGCTCTTTCACTCACACTGTCTCTCCATCCACAGTTCAGCTCGTCATACGTTCAAAAGTTGCCCACTAGTTATGTTTAGTTAGTGTGTGTACATGTGCATGATGGTGGTGGGTGTGTGGTGGGTGTTACTGAAGTTTGTCTGTAGGCGGGCTTGCCATGCGGTACGTGTTCCTTCCCAGACCAGAGGCTGAATGAAAGACAATGAAAGTTGGCGCCGAACTCTCGCAATAAATAGGCAAAAAATCACGAGACCGGAAGCCGAAAACCGTTCGGAGAAATAAAGATCGGCACTATTTCTCCGAACGTTCGGAGAAATAGTCACTTCGTTTTTATTTGGTATCTAAGAAAGAATTTTCAATTCTAAGAATTATGCTTCTTGAATTTTAAAAATCGGTTCATAAATAAAAAAAATTTATGGGGTTGTAAAGGTCGGCAAAATATGGATGACCCACATAGGAAAATACTCCTAAGGCTAAAAAGTGGACCACGTAGTAACAGATTCTGTAAGAAAATCAACGATATCTTTGTAACTAATCGGAGTGTTAGAGAGAAACTTGGCTACCCGATGTGTTTTTGGGTGTAGAAATCATTTCTGCAGTCAGATTTACTACCCCCATTTCGTAGTTATTTTGTTATAATTAAAATTTTGGTGTACATATTAACGATTTTGCGAAAAAGGGGTGTCAGGATGTGTCCATTTTATTTATAGCATCGTATCACAACATGGGATCTTTAAGAAATATATAATATATGTCAGCAGCGTGACTAAATAATTGCAAAGCTTTTTATGATCACTTTAAATTAGACCATGCCAACTGTATAAGTTAATTCAATCTAGCATGCCGTACAATTAAAAATTCTTTTTCCCCGTTGAGACGCGAACACCCCGAGACGAGATAACCTCGCCTCGGAATACCCCCATTGCGATCATGTTACAAAGGGAATAGAGAGAAAGACAACGGGATGCGCGCGCCCGCCATTACCCTATTTCAAGTGACCAATGAACGGGCCCGGAATAGTCATGCGGGGATTTGTAGGTCACATACATTTGCCGCGAGAGTGAGGGAAAAATGGCCGGTCTCCGTGCGAAGCCGCTTTGGATAGGGGGGTAGTCGTGCATTTATGATCGGGTCTAAACAACTACTTGACACAGAACGTTCAAATTTGAGTACACTATAGAGGATAGATAGATCTATTACCATCTCGGCATTGAAATTCAAACTCCTTATAGTTTTCGGTGTACACGATACGAAAGTGTTCCGGACACCAAAAGTATAGGTTAATTTATGTGTGTACGAACTTCAACGTCCACATATCATTAGTTTGCCCTATTTTCGAGAGGGCCACCTCTATTCTCACCCGGAGTGAGAATAGTGCAGGCGAGTCTTGTGGCTATTCTCACCCGGTGCGCGTTCACCAAATTTTGCGTTCACCCTAAACCACAGAATTCTACACTGTGATAACAGAAAAATTGTAGAATTCTGTGCCGTGAACAAACGTTCCATTACAACTGTAGCCTACTAAAAGCGTACAATTTTGTCTGTGGGCAGTGGAGAGAGAGAGAAAGAGAGAGAGGAGTAGCGCGAGAATTTCCGGGCAAAACAAAATGGCGACCCGCGTAGTTCGGCTCGATTCGAAAAGTTAAATAGCCGTAGCATCTTTGTAGACAACCAAATTAATTTACTTTTGTGTTTTAACATCATTTTTTAACTTTGTTTTGGTCAATTTGATCGTCCACACCGATAGACAGTATTCAGAAAGAGACAGAGAGAGAGAGAAGAGGGGAGGAGTTGATCTTGCGAGAACTTCCGGGCGGGTGAGAATAGCCACTTTCTTTCAATCGTGCATTTATGATCGGGTCTAAACAACTACTTGACACAGAACGTTCAAATTTGAGCACACTATAGAGGATAGATAGATCTATTACCATCTCGGCGTTGAAATTCAAACTCCTTATAGTTTTCGGTGTACACGATACAAAAGTGTTCCGGACACCAAAAGTATATGTTAATTTATGTGTGTAAGAACTTCAACGTCCACATATGATTAGTTTGCCCTATTTTCTGATTGGTTGCCGAGTTTCATTCGGATTGGTTCGGAAATAGAGCAGACCGAGGTTGACAAAGTTAGTCACCTACGCTTCGGCCGGGTCCGCAAAATCGCCCGCAAACGGGGACCAAATTTTCGTCGCGCGGGAAAGCCTGATTGGCATTGCTACATAAGATCTGGAATCCGAATAGGCTTTTAAAAGTGAACCCTAGATTAGATTAGCCTAGATTTAGATTAGATAGCCTACAACATTAGCAAGTAATATATTTCTGCCTTTTTTGTATCGGAGTGTCTACGTACACGGTAACCAGGCGCGTAGCCTCAGGGTCTACGTACACGGTAACGGTAACCGGGCACGTAGTCTCAGGGTCTCCATACACGGTAACTGGAAGGTTCAAGAGATAGTCCACTCAGCCAAAAAGAGTGTCACTTTTATTGTTTTTCACACAAGTAGGGTAGATTCTAACTCTGTTTGCAAAGTTCGCGCTTTTTCGAAGAGGCGCACGAGGGTCAACTGCTCTATAGTCCAGCATGATACCCACTAAATTTCATAACAGAGCGTCTAGTAAGCCTTTACTTTCGCTTTCGTTACCACCCAGAAATTTGTCAGTAATTGTCTGATAACGCAACAATTATTGTAACATGCAGGTTCGACATTACAAACGTGGTGTCGCCATGAAAGTAAACCAATATTTGTCACTGTGTCGTCACTTATAGGGGCAACATGAAGAAAAGAAAGTTAAATGCGTCTTGTCGGGCTCGCCATTGTGGCTGGTCAATGAACCTGCACGCGTTCTGAGTGCTGTGAAGTACGGGACTCAGGAATGGGGGGGGGGGAGGGGATTATTGATTTTTTTTTTAAAGATGCACTCGGGGATAGGGGGAGGGCTGGACGCAACACCAGTGGACAAAAAAAACACGAAACTGGAAGCAAATGTTTAATGTTTAGAATTTTGAACTACTACAGCTCTCTGCTAAGTAAAGTGTGTGTGGGTGCAGGCCTTGTGTGAAAACGGCCTAAATGTTCGCGTTTCATTGGATTGGTGGCAGTTTATTTTAGCTTTCTGTACAAGATTCGCAGATTTTCAGTATCACTGCATCTTGCCCTCCCACAGTTCTTACACCTCTCACACTGAATAGGTCTACTTGGGCTATTCTACTGTACTTTGAGTTGGAGCATTAATTTTTGTCCTTCGCGTTTATTATATAGGCCTATATATGATATTAATCATGACAGTCGATATTCTGGTTCTAGGCTCAAAGCAAGATTCATTTTTATAGTTTATATATACAGGCGAATATGACGAAAGGAAAATATTAATAAGTCGCACAAGACCCCAGGCGTCACCACTTTCTGTACGTAATCAAAATTGTAAATTTGGTGCATGACTCTTTACTTGAAATTAGCTCCCAAACCCTCAAATTGGTGTGAAATAACCTTGCTTAGATAAAGTGATGGTTTTCATTTCAGCATTCTAGGGTTCAACAGTATAATAATAATGGGTGTTTCGCGAAAAGGGGTT